CCTGCCTGCCTGCCTGCCTGCCTGCCTGCCTGCCTGCCTGCCTGCCTGCCTGCCTGCCTGCCTGCCTGCCTGCCTGCCTACCTACCTACCTACCTGCCTACCTGGAATAAAACAGAAAAAAATCATGGTAGAAAAGACAGTACTACATTATAACAGAATAACAATATAACAGAATTGGGAAGGGTATTTTGGAGACCTTCCAGTCCAGCTCCCTGTTCAAGAGGAAATGCTACATCATTTCACACAAATGATTGTCCAATGTCTTTTAAAAACCTCCAGTAATGGAGCAGCCAATTATGAAGGCAAGTGGTTGGATAATTGCTCTCACTGTCAGAAAACTTCTCCTTGATTCTAGTTTGGTTCTTTCCTTGATTAGTTTCCATCCATTGCTTCTTGTCCTGTCTTCATGTGCTTTAGCAGCATTTTGCAACCTATGTGGTCTCCAGAAGCTGATTAGAGATACATTTCTGCAGTGCCATTGATATTAATGATTCTACAGTTAGGATTAGTTCTAGAACTTTTATAGATATCATATCCAGGGATCTCTGACCAATAAGAATGGAGGTGAAGTGTAATAGGTCACTTGGTTTTTGCCACTATATTTTTCTCCAAAAGCATTGAAATGCATTTATTTGCATATGTATGCTAGTCATTGATTGAAAAAGGATTGACTGACTTTGCACTTGTCTGCCAAAATGCGTGCACAGATTGTGAAATTTCAAAAGCATGTGCTATAATTGATTGCCGCTAATCACATTGACTACTGTATGGGCAATAAAATGGTATATAATTGGAAATTATAACAACATACACCTATAATTGGTTAGTGATTATGATAGGATGTCCCCCTTGGTTCGTAGTAAATAGACCTCAATTGAAACAATTTAGCTTATTTTCTGTGAGAAAGCTTAATTTAACACAATGATACTTATTTCCAAATAAACATTAATCTTTCACCCCATTATTATTCTCCTTACCCATCACAAATCCCTATATGCTCAATTATTTCATGATATCATTAGAAGAATAGAATGAATGAGAATGTAGTCATATTATAAAAGCTCTGAATATCTGGGCCAATAAAGACAATATGTTTTTTAACAGCCGTACAAAGCCTATGGGACTTATAATTGCTTTAGACGAGAATGGAGAAGCAACTGGAGACTTATTCTGGGACGATGGAATAACAAGAGGTAAACTTACTAACAGAAATAGATATGTGGTAGATAGAATGATAGAATGTTAAGAGAACAGAACAAAAGAAAGAAAGAAAGAAAGAAAGAAAGAAAGAAAGAAAGAAAGAAAGAAAGAGATAGATAGCTTGATTGTAATAGCACTTAGACATATACTACTTTACAGTGCTTTATAGCCATCTCTAAACAGTATATAGAGTCAGAATATTGCCCCCAACAATCTGGGTCCTCATTTTATCCACCTCAGAAGGATGGAAGGCTGAGTCAACCTTGAGCCTAGTTGAGATTGCAGTCAGGAGACGTAGCCTGCAGTACTGCACTCTAACCACCGCGCCACCGTGGCTCATAATAGATACCATAATAGATAGGGGGAAATAAGACACTCCCTGAAAATAAGCCCCAGTGCTTATTTTGGAGCCCAAAAGAAAACAAGGTAGATGATAGATAGAAAGATAGGAAGATAGATAACAGAGGCAGGCAAGCAAACCTATTTTTTTCCTAATTCAAAATAAAGTATGCAAATAATCATGGAGCTTCAGCATAATTAACATTATGAGCTTTACATGTTCAAGTATTTCAGCAATGAACTGATCTTATCAAAGCTATTTGGAAACAAGGGTCCTTTGTGCTCTCTGAGCTTGGTTGTTGTCTTGCAGAAATTGCATTACCTAAAGTAGGTAGCATCATCAGTGCTGACAGAGCAAGCCAGTCGAATATAAACTGAAAGAGAACTCCATTCCTAGCACTTATGATGTTTATTTATGTATTTGTAAAATTC